AAACATGGAAGGATTCTTTCTTGCTGTCTTGTTTCTGCATATGCGTAATTTAAAGGCGAACGGACAAAACTAAAAATTTGATCAATACGCCGGTATTTATATGGTCACTCATCCGTGTATTACTAGCAGTATAAAGAAGTCTAAAAATAAGAGGATAGCGCAAAAGGGCTGCAACATATAGTGAAAAGTAAGTTCTTCCGTTTACGGTAGAAAGCCTGCCAGCATTTTCAGAAAAGTGAAAAAGCGGACAAGAATGTCAATTTGTTTTACTTTAGCCTCTAAAAAGGTGAAACACCTTGGCATCCATCAACAGAACACAGTATTAGGACGCTTTTAAAGTAGGCAATTTATCATGGAGAGTTGTTAAATTATCCGAAAGCACATTTTTTGCAACTGTGTTATAGACGTTTATTTTTTTCGACAACGACTTTTTCCTGCTTGGGTTGGATTGTAAATGCGACTCAGACGGCTGCCTACGTGAAAAAGAAGGCCCATTTACTCAATAATTCAATAAACGCTTTCTACAAATAACTTACTTTGAAGGTTGTAGAAAGTACGTAGCACGGAACCAATCTTTATGGGTAAGCGATTAAATACAGTCGTAAAATAGTCATAGACATTTCCTGGACACTGCAAAACTCTAAGCAAAGGTGGCATGTACATTTTACGAAATAAAAGTTTTCTTAACATACACGAAATGGTATGCTGCCGATTGCATCTACCAATTCTATCTAAATTTAATAGTCGCTGACCAGTCCGTCAACGTTTGAGCTAATGGAATCCTTTATTTCTGTGCTGTCTCCATCAGCGATATAAAACGAACTCCAATTTCCTTTGATCAGCCGCAACGAGATTTTGAAACACATGACTGGACATGGTGAACTTGAGTCTGTGTCATAGACTTTAAACGGTACTGTACTTATACCGTTTTGTGAAATTAGTTATTCACGTGGACAGGCAATCTGTACTCCTAAAATATAGGTGCGCCCATATGATACGAGTATTGTTGTTTTCGAAATTTCCTCTTTTCTTAAAAAACCGTTATTCATAATCAACAAAATCAGTTTGTGTTTTAATCTAACTGGAGGTCTTTCATCATAAGTTTGGTACTTCGTTGGATGCATCCGGACCGGTTTCAGATCGATGAATGACATTTCGTTAACTTTGTCATATTACCTGAGGTAGGCCATCCACTGTAAGGCAGGCGGAGTTGAAGGTGCAGGAGGAGGGAGGGAGCAGTGCAAGACGGCTGTGGCGGACGCCATGGCTGTCGTGTCAGGATCAGTTTTGGTGACTGTATTTGCTGTGAAGACTGTGTGATCACTTAGTAGTATCAGCTGATCCGCTGGTACTCTGTGCATAAACTGAGAGGTCTGAGCTACGTTGGCTTAGTGACCAATGTCCACGAAATGGACCAGAAAGAGTGGAAATCAATCTAACCATGCCCCGTATTTCAAAAGTACACCTTACGTCACTTGATCCACTACTCTCGCAGGCCCTACCGATCGCAGTTTTGGGGTTGACTTCAGCGTACATGGGCAAGTTCTCGCCCTTCTCCTTCTTTTATATCCGCACCCTAAGATGGCCATTTAAACACCCTTCCAGCCGCTGGCGCAATTTACCCCCAAGACGTACGAGGACGCGCGCTCAAGAACAAACAATAACAACTGCAACAGTTACCTCAGTGTGGACCGAACAGATCTGCGCACACATCTCTCCCGTCGCTGCCGCTCTTGAACCAGTGGCTAAAGACGATGGCAGGCTTTTCACTTTCCACTGGGTTGCTTACTTGAGGTCACCCTTGGTGAAGTTCTATAACTACAACATTCTCTCCTCTGGCATATTTATTTAGTTGACTGCAACTTAGGAAAGCACAGGAGGGTAGTGAAGACCAGGGCGAGAGAAGAGAAATGTAGCGACACATGCCTCTATTGACATATGTATGCGACGTAATGCAGTCTATTTTCTTTGGCTTTGGGGAACTTCAGATAATTTTGGTTTACATCCTCTTTTGCTCACCTCGGTCACAAATCAGAGCCGCCCGATGAATGAGATGATCATGGCTTCGACTTAAAAGCAACGCACCCACTGGCTGCAAGGAATTGCTATCAAATAGGCAGTTTGCAACCAGCACTTCCCAATTTCCCGTTTATACAGAGCACAACTGCGAATACTTAAGGGGCATTTGTTGGAGCTCACGAGAAAACCAACTCCAAGGTGTGCCGACGTGTGCACGGATTCAGCACAGTCGAGCCCCAGCTGCCCTGGCTTTTTTAAAATATCGCCTGCCCATGTTTTAACGTGCACAATGAAGTACGTCGTCCCGTTTTGCGGCTGAAAGTGCATTTCATGTGTGCGGTCGTGAGGACGTGCGTGTGCGCTGTGCTGATTGGACGGAAATCGATTTGTGGCCTTAGCAGGCACAGGAGATCCGGTGTGTTGCTTTTGCAACGAAGGTACCCGGCTGTACTGGCAGGAAATACAAAGAGCTGCTTTTGTGTACTGAAAACTACTGTTATGACTTTGAAAATGACGAGCAACCTCTCGTTGCCTCTACTGATTTTCGTAAAATTTCTCCTCTGCGGCGCGGGTGACGGCATAAATCTGATATTATCGTTAATCTGTAATCGCTTTTGTGGTCGATGGAGGGAGTCAGGGTTGCCTACTGGCTCTCACCCTAATCAGTCTTATGTTCTCCACCACGCTGATGGGCGCCTGTCGTGAGGTGCGGGCGGGTGTCGGAATCAGCTATCGCTCAGGCAGAAATTGTTTAGCATTCGTCGCTTGAAAGCATCTTTGAGGTTGTCCAAGGCCATCTTCATGGTCTGTTGTTCTCAACTACCATCTTATCAAACGCCAAAACTCGAGGGACATGCAGCCGAATGTGAAACTATTAGCCATCTGCTGCTCCAGCTCCGGTCTGATCATCAACACGGAGAAGACGGGGTTTCCGCATAAACCAAACCACGGATTATTGACAATGAAACTGACCTTGCAGCTGTGGAGGGATTAGTGTAACTTTGGGGCACAATTTTAAAAAGAACATGAAGATCGGCGGCGAAGCATCAAGTCGGATCACAAATGACAGCCGGGCCTTTGACCGGCTAAAAGACTCCGCTTCAAACCGTCGTGGCATGCCACTCGATATTATGCCCTTGCGCGAGAGGCGGGTGTGGGCTGCTTATAGATGTCGGGAAAAAAACCTCAACCATTTTCACCTTAGCTGCCTCCAAAGAATACTGACAGTAAAGAGGCAGAAAAAAAGATTCTAGGCATTACAACTCGGGAAAAACTGGTGTCTCCCGTATCAATACCATGCTAAGACAAATAAAACTGTGATACGGCAGCACGCCTGTCGGACAACCTTCCTATGACGAGCAGACAAGGTGGACAAAAGCGTTGCTGGAAGGTCACCTTGAATACCTCATTTAGGCATCTGCAAAAAAGCCCAGAGACCTGGAAATGTTCTAGTCCGAGATTGACAGTCATGACATACTGCTGTAAGAACCGAAGCTGCCATATTCGCCAGCAGCAGCCAAAGCAAAAGGCAGACCCGCAAGCCTCCAGTGAAACGGCCCGTTGACGCCATCACTCAATCCTAGCCATTGTGTCCACACTGCCGACGAACATTTCGCGAACGGATCAGAACAACTGAACATCTGCGTACAAAATACACAGCCAATACGACCAACCGCTTCTTTACTCAAAGCATGCTATCACTACCGCTACCATTTGAACTACCAATAGGGACACTCGTATCGACCTAAAAGACACGATCGTCCCTACCCGTAACATTAAAAGTATGGGCTCGATACTATCCCGTCATCATTTAAGCCGCTCCTTCTCATTACGCATAGGTCTGGTCGGTCGCTTTCGGACCTGCCGCACAGGGGCCGACATGTAGGTGTCAGGACTTCAAATACACACCCGTAGTGTACGCTTACTTTGGTCAAACTGCTTAAGAACGTTCGGTCATCTCATAGGTCTTTTGGCTACATGCGCTCCCACCTCACTCCAGACGTCATCACTCACCCCTTGCCCTGCCTGTCCCCACACACGCACATCCCTAGGTTGCACGTGAGCCTGCTTCCCACCACGCGCTACATACCGTATCAGACACACCGATTTCCGACAGCAAGTGCGTGATCCACCTGGCCATCGCCGTAATGCTCCCCAAAAGGACACATGCCAGAACACGCGCAACTCATGTCAGTGGAAGGCACCTTCACCGTTGTACCCTCGTAACTGTTTTGGTCAGGCCACGTAGATGAAACGTCAGTCGTCGCGTCCAATCGGGCAGTAGACTGGTTTATGGGAGGGCGAGGAGAGAGAGTGAGGGCGACGACACCTTAGAGTTCATCCGCACGACAAATCGTCACATTCCTCATCATGGTAAATCTGACACGCTTGAATCCATCACGACGCGATAGAAGAGGTGGTCTGAAAAGGTCCACTCGCTCCGCGTCCAATTCCATCGAGAGTTGGCTCGGACAGTAGACTGGTTTATGGGAGAGCGAAGAGGGGGAGTGAGGGCGACACTTTAGAGTTCATTCTTTGTCATAGTAGATCTGACTCGCTTGAATCCATCACAACGAGATAGTACAGGTGGTTTGGAAGAGATAACTCGACCCGCGTGGTCAGTACTATTTGTGCATGCGGGCTGACTGACTGTTGGACTGAAAGCCAAGCTCAACGGCTCCTCCACTATGTGATCTTTATGGCCTTCCAACTCATCTGAGACCTGATCCGATCATTGCTTTATGAGCATGCACCCCACACAAGCGGAAGGCATGCCACTTGACAACCAGGTCGTGTGTGACACACGCGGATGGGCTGTTTATATTTGTTAGCTTCTGCACTAGAACCCACCTCCGGTTATCGTTGCATTGCTTTTCCATCGATGCGGCACAAGCCCCCCTCACTGTAATCTAATCCACCCACAAGTCATCGGCGCTCCAAACTCTCCCTAAGACATACGGCGGACGCCGGCGTCGTTAACGATGGCCGAACTGCCGCCAATTGCTATGGCTGAATTTCTCGTGCAGTGCGGTCTGTTCAGTCTTAATGAGTCTGAGACAGACAGCCCTTATCAAGAAAGTCATCTGTCAGTCGAAAATAGCTATGTGTAAAATGTCGACTCCCAGTCCGGGTCCTGGCGCCGCACCTAGATTCATATTTTCAAAATTATTGCCTGTTATGGTAGATTAGGGTGTCGATGCCTCCACTACGATGGTGTAGGATCATCTACATCTGATTGCTTTTTTAACAAAGATGCAGAATTTGAAGATTCATGATGCGTTTTGCACTTGATCAGAGGCACCTCATTATTAAGATCGAAGGGACCTTACTACTAAGATATCTATGATTTCGACATTACGAGAGTGCAAGGGACTGGAGACATTGTCACAATCTGTAAGGTAGAATGAATGGACCTTTGGCCATAAAACGGCTATCCTAGTAACATGATAGCGCTTAAATACCTGGGAAATATCAGATCTCGAAAGCTTATCGTGTTCTTTTAGTGTTGACCTACCAAGTTTTCTATGTGGCCTTAAAAACAAAAAAACTTGGGTTTGGATTGGCAACGGTCACTTGGTAAGATGGCCGCCCCCCTCCAACCGACCGCTTATTTAGGCTTGCGTTCGGTGACTCGGACCGTCGTGCAGTCTAATCTGTGTACTTGTAGGATCAAATGCAACTTGTACTCTGAAAAACCCCCGCATGTACCTCGTCTTTGATGCTCGCAAATTCCTCGCACAGGGTAGTTTCTGGTCGATGAACGACACCACGCGCCTGTAACCCCACGGTGACGTGTTCACTTGTGGGGTGGGAGGCCATGGATAATTTATGAACGCGCCATTTAGGTCATACGTGTGCAAACCGGCTGGAGATCAAGGTTGGAGAATGCCGTTCCTTGCACAATGGTCGCATAGATACGGAGCTTATGGTTCTGCCTCCTCCGGCCCCACCACATTCTGTCTGAGATCGGTTCACAAGTAACACGAAGACGGACGTAGCAGTTGAGGATCTGAGTTGTGTTGGTTGACCCCTGTCTATCTTGGTCTTTCCAACTCTATTTAACGTTCATGGGAGGGAACCGGCCATGAAGGATAGATGCTTGTTTTCTTCTTCCTTCGGAGATTATGGAAGATTATTTGTGGTTTGCAGAATTTCAGAAATCCGTTCCTGTATACCATGACAAACATACTTATGGTGCATTGAAGAGCAGGCATCGTTCCAAAAAATTAGGTAATCTGTTTAGTGATGATGATGATGATGATGATGATGATGATGATGATGATGATGATGATGATGATGATGATGATGATGATGATGATGATGATGATGGCGTGTGTACGTGGAGCGTAATGAAGAATAGTAAGTCAGAGTCCCCCTTTCCCACTTACATCGAGGCTCTGGTGGCAACGTAACCTGCAAACTGATGAAATGGCCGACCGAGGAATCCTAAGAATGCGGTTCTCTCGGCGTATCTCAAGATATTAATAGGACGTCTGCTGTTTGTTTTGCCTACCCCATCTATCATTTCAGATTTTCTGAGCCCATGCGCTCTGGGCCCTCCTGCCGGGCAGTGCGTGTACTTTGTTTTGGTCGTTGCGCATGCTGCCGACTCTTCGACCCACAAAGGTAAACTAGACTCAAGATCCGTTCAAAATATAATACGCAGACGATTATGAACTCTCAAAATACGCGACTCCCAGCAAAAATATACACGTAAACTCCCCTTCAATTCCCATCCAATTCCAACAGTACACGTGGTTTACGGCTTTCGAAATGGGAATAAGACGTAATACCCACAAGGCCTCTTGCTCTGATCTGTGTACACTTCAATGTCCTGCGGGTCGCTGCATTCACTAAACCAGTCACCTGACACGCGGATCTACACCACCGTCAGAGAAAGTAGGGCAGTGGTAGGGTGAAGGACACCACTTAACGGTCGGTGAACTGTGGGTTGTGTCACATGGGTTTTTAACTTGGCGTCCATTTACAGGCCACTGCAGACATTAAACTGCCAACAACAATTACTTCCCATGACCTCAGACCATTACTCACACTGTTATTTTTTGAAGTTTGCTTTTGCTTTTCGATTAAAACGCTAATTTCCGTTGACACATGAAAGAGTGCGGTAAGACTTTCGGTAGAAATCCAAGCAATTTCTGTGTTTTCTTGCATTCCGTCGGTTTACTGTCTAGCGTGCTGCTCCACCCGTACAACCCTCCCCCACTACCACCGATCCAGTTTGACACGATCCACAGCCCACCGACAATTAAGCGGGTTTCTTCAACCTATCGTTGCCGAGATAGTATTGAGGGGTATGTGATCCGTGCCCCATCAAAAATTCGGCAAAACGATGCTTATTATTCCAGGCTATAAATGCGGCTTAAGTATGTACGAGCTTTGACAGTTAATGGTTTGAAAGGTCAATGTTGCGTACACCTCCCTTGCATTCCTACCAGGCGATTGTCTCTATTACCACCACTCCCCCACTATAGGTGACGTTACGCAATAGTTCAGAGGGGGAAGTAGACATATTCTTGTTCGATCAAGCAATCCCCATAGAAAAAGAAGTATGTTCAGCCAGTCAAAAGTTGCTAATCTTAAAGTGGATTGTAACTGGCCTCCTCCGTGCTGCAAAGGTCCCACTCCCAATTCTTCTTTTCAAGCTTTTGGAAAGCGCCTTAATGTATATGAGTCAGTTGATCCGATGCCATTTGGGGGCGGTAGCTGAGTCAGCCTAAGCAGGTGCAAGTTATCGACTAATCACTATTTAGCCAAAGTTTTAGCTGCTGATCACATTTCTGATGTTCGACAACTCAGTCGATGTCGTCAACCCCACAACCTCTGCCATCCCTGCCATAACGACTGCTATTAGGTCTCCGACCCTCACCACCGGCGAGAACACTCCGGATGCCATGTCAATCTCAACCCTCACCACTAGGAGCGTGGACTCGTTCCCAGTCTGTCCCCAAAATGATCGCGCCTAGTCTCATGCATCGGCCTGGTCGGTCACTTGCGGTTTCATCGCACTTCAACAGGCGAACCAACGCCAGAAGCCTCGAGATACGCTCGCCATACCCACCTCCACTGCGCACACTTACCATGCACAATCACCCACCGTGTGCGCTTATTCGGCCACATGTGCATCCACGACAGTGTGGCCTACTGCAATGACGACACGTCAAGCCTACCTTGCATACCGGACAATTCTCCCATCTCTAGCACTATCAATCCCTGCCTCGTTTAATTTTCGACGAAGTTTGGGCGCGAACTTGGGACACATCCTTCAGAAGAACTCTTTTAGGCTTGGATCGAAAGTTTATTCATGAATATTCGAGCTGAAACCCATTATTTACTGCGACGTAACCGTGAAATACTTCCAAACTCCAAACAGGTAGTCAGTAGTATAAAAACACCAAGTGGTTTACCACACTGACAACACAGGTACAAGCTAAATACGTTTAGCTGGTACTTATGCTGTCAGTATTGTAAACCACTTAGTATTTGTACACTAGCAGAACCCCCCTCCAGCGCGACGAACACAAACAGCATCTTTACGGCAACCGGATCAGCAGCTCTCAACTTCTCTTGTCAACAATGGCATCACAAATGCCACTCACGCATCAGCCCGGTGGATCACTTGCGAGTCCATCGCACAGAGACTGCCGAGTCTGCGCCTGAAGTACCAACAGACACACACCCATCGCATCCGCCTCAACTGCCCACACACATTCAGCCACCGCATGGGCCTACTCGGCCACACAGGCAGTCACCCATGATCCCGCTTAGAACCCATAACTGCCGAATCGAACTACAACTATCCATCATAATACGAATGCAGGCAGATCAGAAACTACTTGGGCCCAGTGTTCATGGCCCCTTATTTGCGGACGACTGCGTGCTGAACACCACAAGCGAAAGGACCATGGGGCGAAGCGCGGGTCTTTCTGCCTCAACTTGCTCAACCATTGGACTGAACAGCTGGTGTCAACCGAGAAATGCCACAAGCACGTGGAACGCGTCATCAGAGCTCGTTCCGCAGCTACACTCCATTCTACTTGTTACTTATAACAACATTGGTGCCACATCGTACAGCCGCTAGTTGCATTAGCGAGTAGACGCCGTAGTGTCATGCCAGCTCTCCTGTCCCCACATGTCGGTAACCTTACAATTCAGCCGGCTTTTGTGCCTCCGTCACTGACCTCGTGCTGGCTCATTGACTAGCTTTCATGCACCTATGGTCCACAGGAATCGCTTGCACTTATACCGGCGCCTGGTACCGGTTGTCTTTACACTTCAACTCAGCAAAGGCTGTTCGGCCAACTAGGTCTCATTGACTTCTTGCCTGGGAATGCGGTCTTATGCGAGTAACAGCTTGCATCGCAAATCTGCAATGTGAGATGAAGATGCATAGACAGTAAACGTTACTGATGCCGACTTGTCCGTTTTGAACGACACGTTGAGCAGCTTACGTCGGTGACATGAGCGGAAAAATTATTAACGGCTTATCTTGCGGCTGCCTAGGCTGGAACAGATGTTGAGCGCCATCAGTTTCGGTTGAAGACAGTCTGATGTTTGGACTTCTCCTGCCTACGTGATACGGCCACGTTGATGGTAGAAATAGCGGCCAGATAGCAGTTGGTAGCCAGGAATGGGGAAGCGGACGGCGACCTTAACCCTAATCCTGACCATAATCCTAACCCTAACCTCAAACCTAAACTTTAACCGTTAAGCCTAACGGCAACCCTAACCCTAACTCTGACCGAAATCGTTAACGTAACCGTAGCCCTTAGACATAGCCGTAATTGAAAAAGCTAACCGTAATACTGAAACATAATCGTACGCTCAAACCCTAACCGTAACCCGAAAACCTAAGCCTAAAGGCATACTCCTAAACCGAAAATCGAAAACCATTAACCGGTACCTTAATCCTAACCTCATAATTAAAACGGAAGCCAAATGGGTCAGGTGTGATTATTGAACCCCACAAAATAGCCCCAGTAAATAAACCCCCCAGCCACCTGTAATACGGGGCATGGCTACCAACTGCGATCTAGCCCGAACAACCCCTTTTTGTGTGGCGATCTGCGGCAGTAAATAGGGGGAGCTTGCCCATTCGCGCCTCTAACGAAAGTTCACAAATCACCTCAAAGTATCTCGGAGGACTGTGTTGAACCAGGTTTTGAGTTGACTTATTCGATGCTCTCGGACGGGTGGTGGCGCCGGATCAAGGACAGAAACACCGAGCTCACGACGTGGAAGAATAAGAGCGTGCTCAGACCCCTCAAACTGTCTCCCCTGGATAACGCGATTTGTCCCCATGATGCTGTTGCAACGAGCGCTGACGGCCTTATTCGTGAGGAATTCGCTGCACTTCACTCAAAGTATGATTCTCACTTAACGGTACTAAAGCAATTCCAGTCTTTGCTCCTCATCCATACGTGTAGGTGGATTGACGGACGTATGTCCGGCACAGGCACATCTCTGTAGAAGTGGAGGCACCATATCAGGTTTGCAGACACTTCCTAAGAATTGTGGAAATCTATTCGAGAAGCGATATCGATCTTGATCTGTTCATCCATCACCCGCCTCGCCCCGAGACACTAAATCTTCTACAATTTCAAGTTGCTTGGCAGTAATCCCCGGAGTACATTGGGTCAGGGATGCAGCGTAAAACACATTGGTCTTACTTACGTTTATTGATTTAGCGATCTCCTTTAAGCCTTCAGAACTTGAGGCTGGCAGACGATATCGCCAGCCTAGTCCAGGTCAGTAAACCTAGGTCCCCATGCAAATTCGGCACCGTCAGAACTCTGTAGAATCCTTTTGAGAACCCATTCAGTTAAGAAACTAAAAGGCTGGGCAAAAGATTGCAACTCTGTGGGACGCCAGACCGAATATCGCATGCTTAGGAGGAATTTTAGCGAACCGGAATTCACGTAGCGGTTAAGTGATAGTAGGCCTTGGTCTAATTCTATTATTCTCCATAGAGACATGATTGCCGGAATCAAACACCGAGGCAAAGTCAATAAATAAGACGACCGTCAGTTCAAGTGGACAAGCCGGAATGCAGGAATGTGGCGCGGTGTGAATAAGTTAGTAATGGGCATTCCCGTCTCCCTTATCTTTGTCGATACTTCTTTCTGCATCATTAATAGCCGCTACGCTACTCCATGTTTAGGACTCTAGATTTAACTGCCAGACGAAACGGTACCAGCGTGTTTCTCTGCCTGAATGATGAACGATCTTCTCAAAGAAAAGGAAGTCTGCGATGAATAATTGGACTTATTAGCCGTTGTCATTTAGTTACATTTACCATGGGTTACGATAACATAGAATTCGAATGCGGACTCTTTTGGTCATTGAAAGTTACGTCCGACACTAAAATTGAGTCAAGGGCCTGTTATCCTGTTGACTTCGATCGGGAATATTAACCGTCGTGGGAATTTCGTTCGCAGGTCAGGTTACGGAAGCCGCTTATTCCATAATATTGTGCCGGCCTCGACTATAGCTGAGACTTTTTCTATTTCTCACCCTTCTTACAGTTAGTACTCAACCGTGACTTGTGAATGCGAGTGGACCACCTCGTTGTACTTTTTAATTAGAATCGGTCAGTAATGCACGCTTCAAGTTGAATGAAAATGAGAACTGAGTGCATGAGTCCGAAGTTTCCTGCTGAGCTGACCCGGCGACGGCAACCCATAATAAGTATGCAGATCCTACTTTGAATTTCTGGTCCAAACACAGTTCGCAATACCATTGGCCCAGACCCTAGAGCTCACCAATTAATGAAGTTAACTCAGATGTCGTCCAGGGCTGACTGTGCAGCAAGACGTTCCTAACCGTCCAAGTGCGTTTCCGAACGAATAGTTGGTTGCGATATCAGGTAGGTAACTAATATGAGCATAATGCTGCATTTTTCGTCTGCACACTATCCTGATGAGTTGAAGGCTGTCAAAAACTCGGAGTAAATCTACCATTTTTATTACTTCCAGACGAAGGGATACCCCAGCTGATTTGCCCAATGAGATAGACAGAATAGATGCCTAAGTGCCTGCATGAGAACCAATCAAATTTCAGGAGGACTGCTTTGCCCATAAAAGGGCATCTGGTGAGGTTTCGTGGCTGCTCAAACCTGCAGGGCTGGAAGCAAACAACAGACCGCATGCCACTTTCAGGCCTGGATTGGTATGGCCTGGGAACCCGGAGCCTCAGAAAGCGGATTTTTGGATAATTCATATTGACCCAACTGTGAAAAACTCGGCGCCTGGGTGGGATTCGAACCACGCTGTAAGAAGAAGGCTTTATTACACCCAACGCCCCAACCACTTGAGCTACGAGGCCCCGCCGGACGATGCGAGTTTGGTTGGGCGGGCAATTTGGCCCAAATGTGATTAAACTCGCGTCGTCCGGCAGGGCCTCGTAGCTCAAGTTTTTAGAGCGTCGGCTGTACAAAAGCCTTCCCCTTACTGCGTGGGTTCGAATCCCACCGAGGCTCCGAGTTTTTTCACAGTTGGGTCAATATGAAATCACAGATATGAAGAATGCAATAACAGGGAGGAGGACACGGAACGAGGTCTGTACACATGACTAAACGAAACAGGACTTGATGGTAGAAGATGCAGAGCGAAATTCCCAGACTGCTAACACACTGAAAGGAAAGAGATCGCCCCTGATTTCAACGTTCAAAGACTCACGCTCCCAGGACTGAACAACCTGTTATGGATATGGAACACGGAAACGACCAGTTGGCATGTCGATCTCCTCCTAGCCTACCGGGTCTTGGGTCATTTTCTGTACTCAGCTAATCGTACCCGGTAAAACGCAAATACTTAAACCCCCCCCCCAGAGGTCCCCCCATAGACCCACGACGAGAAGGGGGTCAGGTTGATGCGTCATCAGCAGGATGCGCGGGAGCCATTACCAACCAGCATTACCGAGCCATTAAATCAATAGGCTGATTTATCAAACGCGAAAGAATCTAACC